TTTTTCTACTAGAGGTGAAATAAATTATGTACCAACATTACCATATTAGAAAATTCTGATTTTGACTATGTATTCGCTTTTATCCGTGAGTTTTAGATGTTCATATGCTTTCATATTATTAGTTGGTGTCCTTTCATTTCAGCTTGAAGAACTCTCTTTAACATTTCTTGTAAGGAAGGTCTAGGGGTGATGAATTCTTTCAGGTTTTGTTTGTTTGGGAAGGCCTTCTCTCTCTTTCATTTCTAAAGAACAGATTTTGTGGGTATAGGATTCTAAGTTTTTTTCCCTTTCAATATTTCAAATATGTTATCCCATTCTCTCCTAGCCTGCAAGGGTTCTGCTAAGAAGTTTACTGATAGTCTTATGGAGCCCCCATTGCAAGCAATGAGTCATCTTTCTTTTGCTGTTTTCAAAATTCTCTCTTTGTATTTGACTTTTGACAATATAATTATAATGTGCTCCGTGTATAACTTTTCAGCCTCAACCCATCTGGTGAGCATTTGGCTTCATAAATCTAGGTGTCCAATTCTCTCCAAGTGATGGGAAATTTTCAGTCATTATTTCTTTGAATAGATTTTCTGTCCCTTTCTTTCTCTCTTCTCCTTCTGAAATTCCCATAATACTACTTTGTTTCAATTGGTGGAATCACACAAATCCCATAAGCTTTAAAAACTCTTTTTTTATTCTTTTTTCTTTTTGCTCCCTGACTAGATAATTTCAAATGACCTGTCTTCAAGTTCATTGATTCTTTCTACTGTTTCATCAAGTCTGTTTTTGAAATCTTCTATGAAATATTTCAGTTCAATTTATGTAATTCTTCAGCTCTAGGATTTCTATTCATTTTTTAAAAATGATTGCTATTTATTTATTGACCTTCTAGTTTTGTTTGTCCATTGTTTTTCTAGTTTCATTTAGCTGTCTGTCTGTGTTTTCTGGAAGTTCCTTGAACTTATTTAAAAGGATTATTCTGAATTCTTTGTTGGTCAATTCATACACTTCCATTTCTTTAGGATCAATTGTTGGAGTTTTATTAGTTTTCTTTGGTGGTGTCATGTTTACATGACTATTTGCCATCTTCACATCCTTCCATTAGTGTCTGTGCATTTAAGAAAGTACCTCAATGAGACAGTCACCTCTTCAGGCCTATATAAGTTCACTTTGGAAGGAAAAGACCTTCACCAGTCAGCCCAGCCTGGGCTTCTAGATGGGCCAGCTGGTAGCATCCACAGGCAAGTAGAGCTTGCTGTCAGGGTCTCTAGTTGGGTGGATCCTCTGCCCATGCTCTAAGGTTGGGTACAGCCACTTTCTGGGCTATGCAACCAGTGGGCTGCTGGGCAGCAACTGTGGTCAGGTGTGACTGCTGATTGGGCTCCCTGGCCAGGTGGGGCCATTGACTGGGCTCTACAGTCTGGCAGGACCACTGGCTATGCTACACATTTGCCTCTGGTTGTACAGGATCACAGGCTTTGCTCCTTGGCCTAGTGGTACTTGTGGTTGGACTCATAATTGGGTGGGGCTATAGAATGGATCCCACAATTTCCCCTGGTGAGGGATCTAAGTTGTGCTCTCTGCCCAAGCAATGCTCTTTCTACATTTAGGTGGAGCTCCAGGCTGTGTCCTGTAGTTGGCAGGGTCACTGGGTAGGTTCCACTGTACCACAAAATCCATGCACTGGTTGTTTTGAGCTATGCCTTCCTTCCTTGTTATTGGCTGACCCCATGTGTCTAGCCCTGCCAATTCCCCTAGTATGCCCTGTGAGACAAGGCAGAAGTGGGTCTTCTGTGAAGTACCCCAGAACACCTGGAAAGCTGAATATCCATCTTGGGCTCACTTTCTACCTTTGAGGAAACTGTAGGCCCTGGGGAACCCTCTTGGTATGTACTGGCCTGAGGTAGGACTGCTGCAGTCAAAGTGAAACTACTTCTCTTACCTTTCTAATGATATTTTTCTCAGTTTTTATGGTCTAAGGGAGTGCTTCAGCCTTACCCCTCTCCCCTGGGTTCTTGGATTTTCACAAAGGCATTCTTATCTGTAGATAGTTGCTAGTTGGTCTTTCTATGGGGTACCAAAGCTGGGAAAATGTCGTTCTGCCATCTTGCTGATGTCACCTGCATTGGGGTTTTCATTTCCATAGTTTATTATGTATTTAAGGGAAACAACTCTAATCATTTTTCTTGATAAGAATTCATAAGTGAAAAGTTGGTGGTCCAAATACAGGTGCTATTTTAAAATACTTAAACTTTTGTGATAGAAAGAAAAGTTCAAGTTAAATTGTCTATAGAATATGCCATTCACAGGAAAGTCTATCATGTCAACAGGGCACTGTTTAGTGCTGCAATTCCTAAACTGCTGAATGAGTAAATGTAAAATACTACCAAACTCCAAGTTTCAGGGCTACTTAAGAATAAAAAGGAGAAGATAAAGAAGGAAGAGGGAGAGAAAAAGGAGAGATAAGAAAAGAATATATAAAGAAGACAACCATACAGAATTGTGCCAAAATTAAAGTAACATGCTGACATCCATTTAGCCAATGGCTAATACTGTGTAGAACCACATGGTCATCTAACCTTTAAACATTGAAAAGTCCCAAGATAAACATTACTGATTTATGTACTCACTGATTTGCTCCAGCCCAGCCAACGTACTCTTGTTTTTCTCTGTTCCTTCCTCCTACTCCAGCCTCCAGACATTTTTACACATACCCCCATGCTAGCAATAGCCACCTACTAACCATCTGCCTAGCTGCCTTCCTGCCTTCATTCATATGAAAATTTTTTTTTTAATTCCTACCCCATTAGGAAGCCTACCCCAATTTGTGGGTCAGAAGAGTTAGCCTCAAGAGTATAATGATAAAAATGTTTTATACTTTACATAAAGTGTTTTAATATTTAACAGTTTCAATCTGTACAATAATATTATAAGTTATTTCTGTATACATTTTACAAAGGAGGAAATTAAGGCTTAGAAATGTTAAGTGGCTTATCTATGTTTCCTTAGATAATAAAGGGCAGAGTTGAAGCTCAAAATAGGTTTTCTGATTGCTTATATAAATTGTTTTTTAAAAGGCAAAAATGTATTATGTATCCTATTCTAAGGAACATAAGGGATATTCAATGATTTTGTAAGGGTCCTAAGAGCTCATAATAAATAATAAACCTATTTATCTACAAAATTAATTGGCTTCACACAATAGTAAACCAAAAGTAGAAAACTCTCCTCTAGGAGTGAATGCCTTCAGCACTAACTTTTCCCAAGCAACTGAGAGTACTATTCAGTGTTTCAATTTTAAAAAATGCTACAAAATCCAGCTAAATCTCTGGGCAGGTTTATATGTAAATAATACCAAGATAAGATACATGGGAGGCCTTTATAATGCCTTCAAGGTGAGAATGATCACCAGGAAAATTCAGTAACAGATGCCCCAACATAAAGCAGTAAATAATAAAAATAATTTTAGCAACATCATTTTCATTAAATTGTCATGCTTTCAGCAGATATGCATGAGTGTTTAGTCTATGTCAGGCAATATACAAGATTTAAGGGTTAGTGAGTGAATGAGGTCCAGTACTTGTTCTCTAGGAAATCCTCTCTATTCTCCCTACTTTCTGCCATAATGGACTCTTCACTCTTATTTTTGCCTTGTTTTTCTGAGGATCTCATATTTCCTTCAGCTTTCCTGTTCCCCTGTGAGGTACCACTAATAGGACTGACCCTGTAGTCTATGGAGGGTAGATAACAAAATTAATACAAAGTGATTGATACCATTTTGCAAGTCCCTTTTGAAATTAGAATCCTCCTCTGTCTATGCAGTCCTACAATCAAGTTTTCCTACAACAACTATGATTGGGTCAGGACGACATTAGAGGTGCCCCACATTGTCACATACGACATGAATCAGTTATATAAACGGGAAGGAGTATCGACATGGGGAAAAAGGAGGTCAAGCTGTCACTCTTCGCTGATGATATGATCTTATATCTAAAAAACCCCAAAGATTCTACCAAGAGACTGCTGGAATTGATGAGTAAATTCAACAAAGTTGTTGACTATGTCACACTGTCCTGGTAGGCAGTGTGCTATGTAAATCAGACACTTTTACAATGTATTAAATAATTTGTCAAAATGGATCAAGAGTAATCTCATTTCTCAGCACTTATCAGAAGAAAATAAAATAGCTTGGTTACAAAAAAAATAAGAAGAAATCTAAGGTTAAAAGTGTACCATTTATAATAGTAAAAACCTAGAAGCCATTTAAATATCCAATAATACTAAACTGTTTCATTTGTCTATGGTATATTGCTCAGTATTTAATCAATAAAAATTATAATTAGGAAGACTATATAGCTCCTTGCATAAATGGTAATATTACATGTAAAAAACGATGCTACAAAATTGCCCATGTACTACAATATTAATAGCAAACATTTATTGAGCATTTCAGACACTATTCTAGAGATTATTCCATTTAATACACATAATAATCCTTTAAAGTAAGGGTTATTGAGGAAACTGAGGCATAGAAAGTTTAAGTAACATGCCCAACCATGCTTATAAGTGGCAAAGTCTGCATCTGAATCTTGATCCTTTGGTACTTTTGCCCATGTCTTAGCCATCAGGCTGTACCACCTTTCCATCATACTATGGTGCCATTCCTTAGTATGCCTGTATAAAACATGCATGGATATGGACTAGGACAGATATTAAAAAATGGAAATATTCAACTTGATATTTTCCACTCAAATTTTAAAATTTTCTAAAATTCATATTCTTTTTTGTCTTTATACAAATAAAACACAAAGAAGAAACAAAAATCTTATGTTCCTGTTATAACTACTGTTTCCCAACTGCCTTAGGACAAACCATTTCATGTATATCAAGAAAATTTAATGCAAATGCAATACCAAACAACAACCAAAAAATCATTCTCCATTTCATCTTAGGGAAAGTTTTATGTATAATAATATATCTTAGCAAACAAGTTATAGCCATATCATCTTTACCTTGAATATATCTGCACTGTTGGGGCTAAACAGCTGGTGTTTCCCAGATCCCAAAATAATTGGACCTGAACATCCTGTTTCTCCATAGACATAAAGGGACACTGTTGCTGTGGTGCCAGCATTTTCAAGATCCCCAGTGATCACAATTACTTTCCAGTCTCCATCTGGAAAGGAAAAAGGAAATCAGTCTGAAATTATAGAAGAAAACCATATTAATACTAGAAAAGTAAGGATTTCTACTTAATTTATGAAAGGAATAGGTTGTGAAATCAAGAAGTACTAAAATAATTGCTTATCATGGACTTCCTTCTTGGATGCTAGCATATGAAAAAGTTTTGGAAATATTTTAGCATTTTAATTACAAATCAAATAGCCATGGGCTTTTGAGGACAATAGATACTTTGGGCAAAATAGCTGAGTTGGAAGCATTGAGCCTTATGAGTCTGGCTGAAAGATTTTGGAGTTTATTTAGGCATTGCTGTCAAATTTTGGGGTAGGAATGGATGACAGATATACTGATAACCTGACATTAAGGCATTATCTGTAGTACAGAATATCCCTGTCAAGCTGGAGTTAGTAACACAGTTTGGTGATCCTAGCAAAATAGTGGTAAGGATGTAGAAGACCTAAAAATGAAATAAAAAAGGACTAAAATTTTTTTTCATGAAAAATTGCTGGAGTCCTCTTGGAGTTGGAATGAACCAATAAGTAAAGAGGAAAACACTGTACAAAATAAGTAGGGCTTAGCAAATGAAGTGGGGCTTGAGAAGGGAGGATGAAGAAAAGACGTATTCAAAATAGAAAAAGACGATTCCTAACACAAGCAGAAGAAGTCATTGAGCTTCCTGCCACTGTGATGTTAGAAACATAGAAAGGTTGAGACAAGGAAAGCGTGACACAGAACATCTTTTATTAAGAAAAGATCTACCAGTTGTTTCATGATTGGTTTAGTTGGAAAGTCAAAATGAGTCTTCATTTTATCATTTTGTGCTCTTTGGAAAACTATGGCATCAAACCTACAGGAGTAAACCCTTCTCTCACTGTCCTCCCCATACCCTCAAGCATAACAAAGGACAAAGTCCTGCCCCTAGAAGTCTGTGTAGGGCATGCATCTCTACCCATCACTTCTATCCCTGAAGTACAGGAGCAATATGAAGATGTCTTTATTGTTATTTTCAAAGGCTCCATAATCACATACTTCCTTGGGAATATTTTTACATTTCCAAAATGTGATTAAAACTCACCACTATTCTGCCCACTGAATGCTCAGTAAGAAGTTATGTTTATAACATTAAGAAGTTATATTTCTTTTTAAAACATTAATGCTGTCCCCCTCATATATCCATATACCTCATTTAAAGATCTCTGATCAGTTTGATAAAATTTGCATCAACTAAATTTTTCATAAAGCTATATTTGGTAATAAAGATGAAACTTAAGCCTTGGTACCAAAATGCCAAAGGAGTAGCAGAACTCAAAGGGGTGCACTCTACTATTAACACTTCCACCCTGTAGCCAGTTTATTTTGAGGAACTTTGGTTCATGTGGGAAAGCAGGAAACAGGCAAATTGCAAACTATAATCCCATAAAGAATCTTATTTTGATATTAATTCTTACAGAAAACCTCACACCTTTGATGTATAACTAAAGAAGTTAAAGAATTTCTTTCATTTTTTTAAGGTTTTCTTTCCTATCTCATCTTTATTTTCTTTTCCTGCCATCTGAGCCTGCCCTGGGATTTTGTCTCATGCTATCATGGGAAAAGAAACAGGAATAAGTTTGCATATAGGCTTGGAAGTCTTATTTACTAAAATAGAGAAAAATAAGGAGCTATTGATTCATACAATACTTCTGTGTTCCTCCCTTTTGGAATTAGTATGTGACCATGACATAAGCCTTAAGGGTGGAAAAATAAAATGTCTTCTACAGTTATTTTTATTGATTTTCAAGTTTCGCTAAGCATATTTTTCTTTTCTTCCACTGGAAAAATGTCTTTTCCAATATTTCCTATGGTATATACTTTATGATCACTTAACTTCTCCTAGAATGTTACAAATGGGCCAAAATACAATGGGCCCCAAATACAATGGGCCTAAAATACAAAATGGGCCAAACATGGTAGCTCATGACTGTAATCTCAGTAGTTTGGGAGGCTGAAGCAGGAGGATCACTTGAGGCCAGGAGTTTGGCACTAGCCTGGGCAACATAGCAAGATCCCATCTCTACAAAAAATTTTTAAAAATCAGCTGGGCATAGTGGTGTACACCTGTCATCCTAGCTACTCAGAAGACTAAGGTGGGAGGATTGCTTGAGCCCAGGAGTTCAAGGTTACAGTTAGCTATGATTGTGTCACTGTACTCCAGTCTGGGCAAAAGACCAAGACACTGTTTCAAAAAGACAAAATAAAATACAAATAAAAATAGTTAGCAATATTTGTAGAAAATAACAGAGGAATATTCTGAGTCTATTTTTAAATTAAAAGTTCTACTGTCTTATGAAACGATTTATTTATAACAGAGCTAAAACTACAGGTTTTGTATTGCTTTTATATGTGTCAAAATTAAAATATTTTTCAATAATTTTCTATTGTAAAACTTTATTTACCAAAAAAAAAAAAAGCTAACATGAGTTCAGATATTTTTTCTATACAAGTTTCTCTTTTTTTCCCCTTGCCTTATAGCTGCTATTTATCCAACCCCAGGACTCATATCAAAAATTACTGTCATCTATTAATCTCTTTGGAAAATTACTTCTTTTAAAGTTCTTAAAGGAAGAAAGGAAATTCCATGTAGTTGAAGTCTAAATATTTATTTTACATTTATCAGAATTTTGAAAGATTTTTTAAAAGTTTGTTGTCTATTCAGTAAGCCATTACTAACAATATGCCTCAGACTGTGCCCTTCCATTCTCTTTTCTAGGTTTAAATTGGGGGAGATACTATAGCAAATAGCCTCCATTTGAAGAGATCCTGTTGCAGATAAAAGGAAATTTTTCTCGGAAACCATATCCCAGGAGGCTTACTTTTCTTTTGTGTTAAAAATACTTTAGAAGTAGTATAGATATGCTCTGTGATCTCTAAATATACTATAATAAATGTAGATTTCTTCTCAATAATGAAGTAAAGTTTAACAGGAACTTCTGCTTTTACAATGAAAAGTATGTGCTTTGCCATTTCCATTCTTTCATAGCTAAGTGCAATTAGTATAGGCATAATTGAACTATAGAAAATTCTGAACATCAGTATACTATCATCCCTGGTGTCTGTGTGGGATTGGTTCAAGAACTCCCTGTGGACAACATCCATAGATGTTTAAGTCCCTTACATAAATAATATTTTTAAACCATAGTTAGTTGAATCCATTAATATGCAACTCACAGACATGGAGGGCCAGCTGTATGACGTATGCCAACAACTGGAATTCAATTAATATTTGTTGACCAGTTTATTTACAAATATTAAATGCCTATATTATGCATAAGCATTGTGCTAAACATTCAAGACATTCTCTAAGGGACTATGTGAGTCCAATTATCAAATTGTATTAGACACAGATTACCTAATACTAAGTTTACTGATGAATTGCTACCAAGACACAGGATAAGCATTCTTCCTTTGGAGAGATCATAGACCAGGGGTTGGTAAATATGGCCTGTGGGGCAAAGCCCACCACTTGCTTTTGTAATTAAAATTTCATTGAAACAATGGAATGTTCATTTGTTTGTGTATTATCCATTTGTGTTCTCACATTACAACAGCAGAGTTGAGTAGCTGCAACAAAGACCATACGGCCCACAAAACCTAACCCAGCTTCATCGCCTGGCAGCATGAGGGAGCCATCTCAAAAGTCCAGCCCAGCCAACTCTTCCTGATGTCTGCAACTGCAGCACCATCTGACTAAAATTGGGTGAGAGTTTCCAAGCAACAAATCACCTCATTGAGCCACATCAACGGATGGAAAGGTGAGAGATAATAAATTATTGTTTTAAGCCACTGAGTTTTGAGGTGGTTTCTCACATAGCAATAGATAGCTGGAACAACTACTGAAAACATTTCACAGATAAGGGTTCTCCATTATCTTTTTACTCATAAATGCCATTAGCATTTTTATCAGGAGGTCTAGTTATTAGTATGCAAGGGTATTTCACTGAAGCACTTCTTTCATGTGTCCCAGGTAAAGGAAAAAAACAGACGGCAGGACTGCCATTAACTGCTTCCTACCCGATGTTTTTTTAGCAATTGGAGGTTTATTCTCAGGAAAGCACTAGTGAATTATTTTGGAGAACAAAGTCCCTACAGTTAGTGAAGTTCAGTAGCCCAATCACAGATCTTAACACCTCATCTTTACCTTATTCTGTGCATTATGCTACAGGGGTTACTTTGTAACTCAGAAAATTAACCCTGTTGTTGAAAATAGAAACATCTGTGTCTAGACACATTTTCAGTTACTTGGCAACTACCCACTGAATACTCAAAGAAATGCAGAGAGGATGCATGTGAATTAAGCTCTCGCCATGTAATTGTTAGTTCAGCATACTGAGGGAAAAAACTCCTCACATCTGCCTTCCTCAAGTCTTGGCAATATCTTAGTGACAACTATGGCAGTCATGCTTTGCCTGAAGGCACATCAGACAGCAGACATGGTTCCATGACTCTTCCCTGAACAAAGCAGGACACAGGAAGATGCAGTGAGAGTGAGAAAGCCCAGGGGGCCTGTGCAGATTGCAATCTCCCATTCCATGGATTACAATTAGGGGTAGATGGAAAGAGCCTAAGAAGACCAACATCACTGGGCATGAAATGTTTGTTTGGCTCTTACTTTGTGGAAAAGTTAAGTGTTGTGTCAGGGAAAGATGGAGGAGTGCAGGTGAGACGTGGGTGGGAAAACTCCCAATGTTAACAAGATCTATCCCACCCCCAAAGCCTTATGAGGGTCCCACTGACTCTAGGTGGTAAAGAGAGGTGAGGATAAATAAAACCTTTTCCATTATTACAGGCATGGCAATGTTTTAACACTACTTACAGATCGGCATGTCTGTCAAATGTTTAATCTAGCTCTTCTTAAAATACGAATACCTATAACACCCATCTCACAGCAGCCTCTGGCTCCCTCTGCAGCCTCCCTCCTTCTCAGCGACCTTCCCTCTGCCATCCTTCAGCTATCCT